TTGGAGAAGGTGGGTTCCTTAAATGGATTGGCATTATGCAGAATCTAACCAGATGCGGGGGGGGGGGGGGCAGGGGCAGATCAGAAGGCCCACTTCAGGTATGAAGTTTCCCCTGTAGTCCATTGGAATGGAACCAATTAAAGCACTGTGGTCTTTTGCAAAGATCACACTTGGAAGAATACAATGTTAGATGTAATGTTAGGCTGACATTTTGCTGTAATTGGAAGCAACCCCTGATCTTTCTGAATGCTGACTAAATAAATGATGAAAGATGTGAAACGCTAAGTCCCCATTAGTATGTGATTAGGAATCCCCAGCTCTCCATTAGAAGAAGTGTATTTTTTTAAAATAATGCTGAGCGAAAGACTTTTGTTTTCTTATACGTTAGTTGATTTAGCTGAGTTGCTTCATGGCGCTTCCCCCTGGCTTCCTATGCCTTCTTGTGTGGTCTTGCAGCCTTATTTCACACCCGTGCCTTTTGCACAGCCCAACATCTCTCCTCCCCACAGCAGTTGTGTGCGTGTTTCCAACAGAATGAATTAGCATTTTGCAAAGCCAGAACAGAAAAAGAAAGGGAGGAATTTAATGCTCAACAAGGAAGAGTGGGAAATGAATGCATTACTTTGTCAGTAGCCACAGTCCTTTTGAATGTTAATTATACATTAGCCTGCAAGAATTCAACAGTGTCCATTGTTCCAGACATACCACCCTAATCACAAAAACCACCCATGATTTTAAAGTTGATGGCAAAAGATCCCCAATCATTTACTTTAAGTGTAAGAAGCAACTGGCATGTGATATTAGAACCCATCATGTAACCAGGTCCAGAATATAGCCTAGGCTGCAATCCTGAAAACCACATTGAAAGAGAAAGCACAATATTTTAACAGTATCCATAATGTTTCTAAAAATTTTCTTCCATGATCTGCTTCCTTTCCTGCACAGGTGTAAATGCTCAGGATGCTACTCTGTTCTGAAAGTGTCTTTTCTGGATTGCCTTTCCAATTTTAGGGCTCCTGATAATGGCAATAAATCATTCATGTTGCAAGATAAAAGCTCACACACCGCTTTAATAAAAGGAATCATTTATTTCATTTTAAGGCAATCCAATAAAAACCATATTACATCAGACATTCGATGCAGAATACAGTAGCACAAAAGAGATAAAAGTCATTGCCATGCAAATTAAAAAAGAAGTTGTGAATAGGGAGAGAAACTGGGGTAGGCAAGAACATGCTGGTTGACTCTAAGAAACATTAGAAGCTAGAAGACCTTTTGATCTGGGCCGTTGACTGTTTGCACACAGTCAGGGCCTCACATGAGGTTGCCCGATGTAATTCTACAACAGATTGTGGGTTATGCGAGGCTTGTTTAACCCCCACACAACCATCCTTAGCTGTGTTCACACACGTGCCCTCATATGAGGTTGCCTGGAGAATTCCTGTTGTTTCCGCCTTGACCACCACCACCGCCACCTGAGAGCTAGTCTGCGGGCCTGGGATTCAGCAGGTATATCCAACATGACGTCTGATCTTACATGCATAGAACATTCTTTATACCTGTATTTCATCTGCTCACAGCACCCATCCACAGCAGGGCACCATATTTGCATGATGTAAGCCATCTTGTTCTTCCATGCATGGAACTGGAAGCAGGACTGCATTGGCATGTTCACCCAACACATACACTTGTACACACAAGATGCAGCACAAAAAAAACCACAGGTACACAGCACCTCCCAGTTGCACTTGTAATGATGTAACAATGCACAAAGAAATGGGTTAGAGTTTCATATGGGGAAAAACTGCTGGGTACCTCTGCTCCTTCAGAGCTGGGCAGCTGCGCTATTTAGGCTTCCCTTGGTCTCCTCTACAGCATCTCTTGGCTTTGAACAGTGTTTGAGTGGGGGAACAATGTCTGAATACTGTTCTGACTAAGAAAAGAGGCAGAGAAGTAAGGAAGAGACTTCCTCTCTTCCTTGGGGAGTTTGGAAAACCGTGCATGCCTTTTGCGATTTTGGAATATAATCCACATCCCAAAACACATGGCAAAGCTCTGTTTTTCTCATAACTAGTTCAGGATTGTTCCCTGAGTCCAGGCCATTCAGCATGTGACTTAATTTCATACAGCACTTCCCTCCTTACACTGAAAGCCTTTTGCTGAATTATACTATGCTAGTTTATTTACTTACTTTATTAAAGTTCTTGTTTACTGTTCATAAAAAGCCACAGGCTCTCTGAACCGGTTACCAAAAACAATGAGAGCAAGGTCCAACAGCCAGTTATCCTGCACTGTTAGAGAATCTGTACTGGGAAGAGAGACTGATTGTCAGCTACAATCCACTGTCAAAATGGAAGATCCTCTGAACGCCTCATGCCCCAAAGGAAAATTACCATGGAGCTCCAGAGAGCTTTATAAAACTTGTTGGCTGACTAGCTCTGTAAGATTATATGAACTAGCCCATCACCAAGACCACCTCTCTAATGTTGTGTAAAAAGCTAACTGGTAGAGCAACAGTAAGGCCACTTAGACAGGTATAACCTCAATCCAATGTAGCTAAAGTGGTGAGAAAGGGGGGACAACCTTATTACATGTCTCCTTGCAGTGCTGTGTGTACATGATGATGTCATGAAAGTAAACCATGGAGCAATCCTTGCTCCCATAGGTGTAGGCTTTCCTCTTCAGTTCCAGCCACTTGTGGTCTGGATCTTACCCCAGTTTTGCCCAAATCCTATAGAAGTAGGAGAGAGAGCCACCTGGAGAAAATGATGCTGCTCATTACACAGCATACAGCACCCTAATCCAGGCTTGCAGGATTCCATTGGCATCCCTGCTTACAGTAGATTTCTTCCTCTTGCTTTAGAGAGAAATGAATTTCCAACAAAGAAGACTGTTTGGCAAAGCATGGGCCAGGCCTGCCAAGAACCAGCTGCCCAAAGTCTTGACCTATCTTGTTCAGCTTAGAATTTGGAAAGCTCAGCTCCTTCTTCCCATACAGACCTGGGAAGAAAAGGGGAGCTGGATGAAGTCAGAGAACATCTAGTGTGAGGATCCTACACGTGAGTCAAGATTTTTTCTAACCAACTCTAGATAAACTCATTCTAGAAGAAGAATTTGGAAACTGCTTGGCAATTGCCCAGAATGCTTCCCTACCACCTCGGAAGTATACTGTGTGAGGTAACTCATGGGCTATGTCTAAAAGCTTCTTTCCTTTCACTGACCATCAGTCTGTTGCCACCTCTATCCTTTATCATTGTCCTAGGGCTTAAGCCGTAGATGTTGGAAGCTGCTGAAGGATCATCACACAAGAGCTGCAGTAATGATCATTTTGAGGGGATCAGTGCTCTTGTAGGAGGGGTTGGGTATATGTGAGAGAGCGGAATGCACAGCTAGTGTGGTTGGCTAATGATAGCAGAAAATTTGGGGTCAGGAGAGTTGGGAACAATATGGGTAATGTTTGTATGCTGGTGATGGGAGGCACCCTTTTTGGGTAAGGCAGAATGTGAAAAGCTTGCTTGTTTTGAATTTCTAGTGTTAGAAAGGGTGGGATCAAAAGATCTGCTGGGATGAGAATACTGTGCACTTGTAAAGTGAGGCAGCAATGGGATGGGGCAGGGGCATAAATTGAGACAAACCGCCCTGCAGAGGAATGTTTGGAAGGAGGGGACCACTTACAGGATTGCTGAGACTCCATGCTTGATTGCTTTAAGAGCAGGGGTGGGGATGTGGCCCTCCAGGTGTCACTGGACTACAACTCCTATCATCCCTGATCACTGGCCATGCCAGCTGGCACTTATGGGAGTTGGAAGTCCAATCGCATCTGGACAGCCACAGGTGACCTATCCTTGCTTTAATGCTGTATGGAAGGTTTCTAACTGAACCCAGGTGGGAGTTTTTATGTCAAGTGACTTAGAAAACTGCAACAGAGAAACTGTGGAAGGAGTTACAGTCATGAATCCTATTTCTGCTTAACCCTGGGAATCAAATTTTCCATATCCATATATTTGAAACATAAACATCAAGACTATCTTGTCTGACTGGTTGTTTGGATGATGCTATTACTCTGATGAGCAGAACTGTATTTATTTATATAAACATTTGTAAACTATCCATCAGCCTAGATGGCTCCCTGGATGGTTTACAGCATACCAGCATACCAACTGTAGGACGTACATCCTTTATTTTCTTCTTCCATGTTCAAAACATGTTTCAGGAATGCCCTGCCCAGAATTGCCAGGTTTCACAGTTGCTGAAAATCAGGAAAGGGACTTAAGAGAGGCAAGCAAGCAAGCAAACAAATGGTCCCAGCCTGCACAAATATTTGCCAAAGTAGATTTACGAAGAATAAGGAAGATTAAGCAACTGAGGAGCAGGATGCAATACAAGGAACAGCAACAACACCAGCAGCATCAGAAACAACGTCACGCGGTCACTTGGCCACAATATATTCAGCCCGCCAGGTCCATCGATAAGCAGAGCCATTGCAAAGCAAGTGGGAAAGGAAAGGCAGAAGGCTTGAGGCAGTGGGTAGACTATGTTTGGGCTGGAAAACCCACAAGTCATTCAGCAACTCCCGATGCAGGGGCACATTGGGGAGATGAACGATGCTCGGAAGATTTGGGGAAATTGTTTCTCCATCACACAGATCATGTGCAAAAAGTACGACATAAGCTTCATTATGACAAACTGGCCTCCTTTCACCTTGGTGACCTCCCCAAAGAGGAAATAAGGAAACTTGCCAGTGACTGGTTTGTCCTTTTAAAAGATAAAAACCACAATTTTCCCAGGTTGCTGTACCCTGAGGCTGGTTTGTCCTACCAGTTACATATATTGGCATGTGCCAGGAGTAGAGCAGAAACCAGTGCCCAAATGGACCTTTGGGGGAAAGAGCGTACTGTGGATTTTTCTTTTAGTGGCTTGATATCTGCCGCCAGAAAATTGACATGAGAGTGACTTGCACGCAGGCACCTGTCTCCAGGGCTCCTTCTCTCTCCTGGTCTTCAGATTTCTGTCTGGAGGGTGTGGCCCGTGGAGGTGTAGGGAGGTGGTGCTGGGTTGGGTTTGATGCCTCGTCCCTTCATGTAGGAGATGAACTGTTCTGGGATTTCAGCAAGGACATCCTTAGCCAGCCGTGCCATACTCAAGACGTGGTTTCCGGTGCGGTCAATGTAATCTCGGAAGGGGACAAACTGGGAAAAATAAGCAATACATCAGACAAATCAGGCTGGGACTTAAACTGGATGGAGATAGAGGTGAATTTCCCCACAATAGCCCCCCCCAGCCCTCTGGGAATATTACACAGCAAGTCAGGAGACCCTGTTGAATGGGGTGGAGGTGGGTGGGAAGAAGGACAGAGGACCTTCTGTGAGAAGGTGTCTTTTGTGCTGCCTTTCACAGAAGGCAGCTTCTGGATCCAACCCATTAAAAGCAGGAAAGCAGATTATTTAAAAGCCAACATGTTTTCTTGTGTAATCTTTGCTTCAGGTGAACTGGACCACAGAATATTTTAAGAAGATCATGAGTGGCAAGCTCTGGCCATTCACCAAGCAGAGATCATGCCCAAACTTCCACAGCCTAAGTACTTCTATAAAGGCTCAAGTTTGGTAGAGTAGAACCTATATGCCTCATATGAGGTAGCATCCTATGTCACCCTATACAGGCTCAAGTTTGGTAGAGTATTTGCCAATTCTAAGAACCTATATGCCCTATATGAGGTAGCACCCAGTGCTTAGTCTATTTGGATTGACAGCAGCTCTCTGCTATTTTACATCACATGCTAGTGAATCCTTTCCACTGAGGATGCCAGGAATTGAACACGAGACTTTCTGAATGCAAAGCATGTAGCTGAGCACTGAGCTTCTCCCCTAATTTTCACTAGTGGAGTAGTGGCAAATCCTGAACTGTCTGTCTAGCCTTGTCATGGAGAAGAGTCCTGAATTATGTGGCTCTGTCGATTTACACCAACACACTAGTTCTAGCAGGTTTCATCTCCATCAGGAGCAGTCTCTTTGTAAAACTAATGGGTCATAATTGCCCATTCAATGCCAAACATCCCCAAATACTCTGCATTGCAACAGGCAACAATATATTGTTGCTAGGGAAATTTATTTCCCTCCCAGCTCCTATGAGGATTGCAGCTAAACTCAGAGCAGAGGGAATTCCGAGGAATGGCAGATGACCTCTGACCTCAGCATCCCTGCTAATAAGAAGTGCTGGAGCCATGTTCCCACAAGCCCCACTGTCCTTATGCCACTGGTCCCAGCCACCCACCATCACTAGCTTCAGTCTTGCTTGCTTCCCTGCACTGGTCCATATTCAAAGTGCTTTCATGTAAAGCACTGCACAGTAATTAGAGTCAAGGAACTATTTACCCAGAGCTTCGGTCGCAGAAAATGCAGTGTGGATGGTGCCAATGCTGGCCATTTTCAGCATACATGGGAAGTTTTATGGCAGCTGACCTACCCCGCAACAGAAATGCTTCAGCTCTTGCTTATTCTGCAACACAACCTGCACACCACTACTACAGGTTTGCAAGTGACAAGTAGGCAGGTGTGAAGGACAAAGAAATACCTGGACAATGTCACGTTCAGCAATCTTCCCACGAGATGAGATTCGGATGTCATCTCCATCCAGCTCCACCATAGCTTTACATAAATGAAAGTAACGGGGGTTAATCACAGAGCATGCACGAGGCCAAAGACTTGTAGCAGGCCTGCACCCTGAGTTAAGGCCTGTGTCTCTGACTTCTAAGGATGTGGGCCTTGCCGGACTTGGGTGAACTCTAGATGCCTCATCTGCCTTAATTACAAGGTAGCGCATTGGTTATCCCTTCCTGGCCCCACCTGAGTGCCTCCAGAATGGGGGACATCCTCTCGACCTGGTAAGATGGGATGACCACCCTTCTGTGTTCGTTTCCCCAGACCAACCCTTTTCGGCCTTGCTAATGCCCCATTGTCTTGGCACCCGGAGAAAGGGAGGCCCCCATCAAGGGACCGTGACTAGCCAGGCAGGGACCCATCTCAGTTACTGTCCCCTCCTTCTGTCTCCCTGCCCCTCATCATTCCCTGGCACCTCTGCAAACACTCCATGTCTCCGCTCGCTCATCTCGCATTGTATTCGTATCTCGCCAACACGCCTTGCTGTCCACTTGCTGTATACTGTGCTGCTGCAAACATGGACTCTGTATAAGCCATAAAGCCATTTCCTTTATGCCCTTGTTTGGACTGTTCAAGGAGGCTCCGCCGACCCCGTCCGTTCCAGCTGATGGGAGCCCACCTTGCAGGGGTTGCTGTGTGAGTGACTTGCTGCTAAATGCTTTAGGGAGGCTAGCTAGCTTATTTGTACTTTGTTGCAACAATAAATGCAACTTTGTTGTACTTTGTTGCTTACTTATCTCCTTGTAAGTAAACCCGGAAGCTGGCATAATCATTTCCTTGAGATCACAAGAACTTCTTGCCCCCGGCCAGGGCAATACAAGACTACAACAGACTCCAAAAGCCCATTAGTGCCATGGATGATTGGCAGATCAATTACCTGAAAAGGGTAATTTGAGTAAATGGCACAATTGTTTTCTTCCAGAGAGTTAATTTCTTCCAGAGTTAATCTCTATAGAATCACAAATTCAATTTTCTCTTTGCATATTGTAACTTGCTCCACTAATAGCCCTATCAATGCCCATTTCTTATTGTTCATGAGATGGATGGTTTAATTAATATGTTATATTTTACCTGTTAATTTCATTATGCAGACTTTCAGCAAGGGACAAATTTTTGCACTGGAGACTGTCAAATATGAGGCATGAAAAGCGCAACTGCTTAAACAAGTGTTTGAGAGAGGTTAGCTGCTACTTTGCAGTACCTTAAATTCAGCATACACAGCAGTTGGCTTTATTACACGAAGTTTCATGGATATTCGGATCTTTATTAGCAGGCATGCAAACCTATTGCTTTCTTGATTGCTTCCTCAATGATCTCTACTTCCCACCCCAATGAACTTGTGTAACTCAAATACCAAGTGAGACCTTAAAATAAATGTGAATACTCCCCCCTCTCTGTATGCATTTCTTTGTACATCTTAACTACTGTATCCTACAGAGATGAGGGGTGGGGGCAGGGATGTGTGAGGTATCCATTTGGGGAGTGGGAGGAATTCCTCAGCCCTGAGTCTGAGTTCTTGGCAAGCACCTGCATAAGGTGCAGCCACTGTTTAGGTGGGCATTTGTGGACTTCGGCTCGGCTGGTTTTGGGAGATGCTAAGAGCGATGGATTCCAAGGGGGTTCATCCCCACCCTAGTGGGCCCCCCCCGCCTTGGACGGTTTCATGGAAACCTGGAAAGGACCACACATGCATTAACTGTGACTACATATTAGGGTTGCAATGAGCCACCTAAGAATCTAGCCTTTTCTTTCCTTTGGACTTCTCCTGCTCAGCCCCCACTTAGGAAGTGAGTCAAGAGAAAGTCCATGACTAGTTTGGGCAGAAGTCTGGTTAGGCAGCTGTAAACCTTCTCCTGCAGCCCATGCAGCAGAAAGCCTGCAAGTTCCGTGCATGCAAGGGGGTGCAGCATTCACACACGGCTTGATTGATGGTGGCGGCTGTGTGAACTCTTGCCGTGCTCACCAGGAAATCAGACTCACAGCTGTGAGAAAGTGGCCTGGAGTCCAAAAAGTGGAGCCCAGGGAAACCAACAGATTCCCATCTCAAGGATGGTTTTCTCATGCATCTGCATCACAATATCAAAAATACTGTGAGCAAATTTATTTATTTTCAATTTATATCCTGCCTTTTTCCTACAAAGGGCTCAAGGCAGCTTACATCATTCTCCTCCTCCATCTTATCCCCACAACAACAACCCTGTGAGGTAGGTTGGGCTGAGAGTCTATGACTGGCCCAAAGTCACCCAGTTGGCTCCATGGCTGAGCGGGGACTAGAACCCAGATCGCCTGAGTCCCAGTCCCATGCTCTTAACCACTACACCACACTTGCTCTCAAAATGGAAAAGTTGCTAGAACAAGACCAGTAGACAATGAACTTTCTTATAAAAATGTGACTGACACTGTGCTGAGAGACTTAAGTACACACAAGTGGAAACCTAGGGCTTTTCTGCGTGAGGCTGGTAATCTAGTGCATCAGCTTTCAATTTTGACACAGAACTGAAATCCAAGCACTTATATCAGGTGTTTTCTTTCCTGCTTTTCTACTGCATAACCTCTAGGTGGCACTGTGGTATACTGGAACTGTGCAAATACACAAGTGGAAATTGTGTTTTCAGAAATAATACCCTATTTTCCTTGCTCTAAAGAACTTCATGAAAAGTGTTCATCATCATCATCATCAACTAAAGAACCCATAGATAACCACAAATATGGAGGATCATGAGCGCACAGCAAATGCCTCATGCAGAAAAGCTTTTGGTGATAACAACTTAAATGTTGGGGGCACTCTACCCAAAGAAAGCACCCTATCCAGACAACAGGTACCCCACACAAGGGAGAACAAGTAGAAATGAAGAGCTGTTGGATATCATTGTCCTTCTAAGCATGCATGCCAGTCATCTGCCTTGAGATGCCAAAGGACACTCATCAGGAGCCTCAGCCCCACAGCTACAGTCAAAGCAACTTACAGAGCCATGCAAGAGGAAGGGGCTCACAAGGGTGGGGGTCTCAAAGCAGGGTGGTCTACCTAAGGCCTCAAGGGAGGAAGGGAGCACAGAGCACTCAAACTCACACAGCCACAGGAAGGAGAATGCTTAGGAACGATGGCTAAATAGCTCTCCCACCTGGCATCATTGAAAGTCTCAAGAAGCAGAGCCAGCTAACAGAGCTATGCCACTCTATACCGAAGGGGGTGAGGTGGCCTCTTTCTGGCTGCCTGACTGTGCATGGTGTGTGGAGGAAGTGTATAAGGGGCTGGATGATATCATTTGGCTCTTCAGGCTGCATTGGCTGGTGCCTGCTCCACACGGCTAGCATGGTGCCGTTCCTGGGGCGAGACATGTGTCAGGACAAAAAGAGTGAAAGCTCTGCTACGACATGGCTGCTGAATGCCTAACACTGTAAAAACAGCTTTAGGCTCAAGGTGGGATTCCTGATCGGATCAAGAATCCGTGTTGCAAACCTTGTCCCACATGCACCTTAGATATGATGTTTGCCTGTCCTGAAAGCTCTTCCTTTTGTTTAGTGTGTCTTAGTCACCTTCTAGCCTTGTGTTCTACTCTCCTGTGCCTCTAGCAAACTGCCTACCTGATCCCCCTACATGTGTATGTAACTAACCTGTCATAAAAGCTTCTCGTACAGACTCCATCTATGTAGACCCTCTGGTGCAGGTATTTCCTGTATGTCTGAATAAACAATAAATGTTCTTTTGATTGTGCACCCCCACCAGATTATCTCTTGTCACACACCTGGTGGGTAGTGTGAATGTTGCTGTGAAACTCACCGTCTGTGTGCCTACAAGGACTGGGGCTGTTGCCATTTAGACTTGCGCAGATTTAACACATGCTTTTTGCAGCTGGTTAATCACAGGATTGTGGCCGCATTACTCTGCTGTTAGCCCTGCTGTAACAGCTGCCAACACAGCCGAACTAAAGAATCAGCTTTTGGTTAAGGCGTATGCAAGGCATAAAGTTAACACAAATCAGGGTCTTACCATCAAATTCAGCCTGTCCAACTCCCACAATGATGATGGACATGGGCAGCTTGGCAGCCTTAGGGTCAACAGGAAACAAGGGAAAATAGCAGGATTTGTGGGAGAGAAGGTTGGAATTGGGAGTGGAGATGGGGAGAAGAGAAAGAGAAAGAGCATGCATTTAAGATGGAAGGCATATCGTACATCAGGCTACAGCATAACTATTTGCACTGCAAGTATTTGAAGTAAAGAGAACAGGGTAGGGAGTGAGATCAGAGCAGCTGTTTCTTGGTGTGTGACAGAAAAATAAGAAAGCCAGGGTGAAAGTTGTCCTAATTCTAGGCTTCAGATGAAGGCTGTTGAGACCTCTTCTAGATACATAGCGTCCTTATGGTAATTCGTTTATGTAATGAATGTTATCACTTTGAATAGCACTGTTTACATGTACATTTAACAAATGCACCTCTCCACCACCCAACATGTTGATCTGATTTGCACGATCAAAATAGGCCACAATCAAGTAAGCTTATTCAGATCACCCGGGTGCTTGCTGGCTGCAGGCAGGGCATGATTTCCATATTCTCCACCCAAGCCCATCTCCTCTGAGCCCAGGCTGCATGGCTTGTTGAAGGGGGAACCGTCACTTCAATATTTCTTGGAGGGTTGTTCCCCCCTCCAACAAGGTATGCCACCCTGGTTTGGAAGACATGACAAGCTGCTCCCAAGTAGCAATTAAAGAAGTTGTGCCTGACAAGTTCCCAGCTTAAGCTGTAGTTTAACCCCACCCCCCACGACGGTTTTGATTGTCCCCTTTGATGATTTGAATTCCTTATGGAATTCACAAGAGCCGTCCTCGTGATGAGAGCAGAATTTAGACTTCCCTGTATTCCATAAGACACGCTAACAATGAAGAATGAAGAGCCCTTTGTTAATAGAAATGCCCAGCACTTGTTTGCAGTTGGCTGCACTCATGCATTGGAGTTTTGTTGGTCTATTCATACAGTTCTGATCACACAGTCTGCTTGCTCTTTTAGCACAAAAACTTTCTGAGAAAACTGTTGTGGGAGAAGTGGGTGGGACATTGGTTCACACTCCACAGCGCTACATTGATATAAATGTTATACAATGTACACCCCCTACAAGTGCAAATTAGAATCACCTGGGGGAGAGAGCAGGAAGGAGCTCATTGGCCCTTCCTCCTCCACAGTGTCCCCATCAGCTTCCCTATAGCCGTTTTTGCTCCCCGCTGTCTACAACACAGTCACCACCTTCTACCAGTGTAGGTCCCACAAGTGATTTAGACCAGGGAAGGCCAGAAGTTACATCTCAAGAAGTTTTGAATTTCAACTGCTAGAAGCCCTTGCCAGCATGGGAGATACATTTTTGTGCACCCTTGATTTAGGACTCTGATTCTAGCAGGGTTCTCCCTTGTGCAAGAGTTAAGCTGCTTCACCTTTAATGGGCCAGCCTTCCCCAACCTGGAGGCCTCCAGATACGTTAGACTGCAAGGGCCAGGCTGTCTGGGAAGTGCCTCAAGAGCACCAGGCTGGGGAAAGCTGAAATCCATTACACTCCTCTATTTGCATGGCAATAAACCTTTCTGCTTCCATTTGCTGACCCTTCTGCTCCTTTTCATTCTAAGGTGCTTTGCCATTGTGCCATTTATCACAAGGGCAAAGAAATCACAGAGAAACCTTGTTTTCCCGTCTTCCTGCATTTGTTCTTAACACTTTCTCCACCTTATTAGCCAATTATCCAGCTCCTTTCTCTTTCCCCTTCAGCTATCACTGATTATTATTATTTTTTCTTCAGTTAAACACAGAAGTGGTGGTAATCAGCACTCTTTGCCTGGGCTGATCTCTGGCCCTTCTTTAGCAGAGAAACACAGCGGCAGTTTAATAATGAGCAACTTTCATTACCACTTAAACCGAATGCACTGCAAAGGCAGTATCATAATGGCTGCACACAGTGGGTAAAAAGAGGGAAATTGCCCGAGGATGTGAGGGGGCGGACAAAACAAAGCCTGCTGAAAGTAGGAAGCTACAGCCAGCTCATCTGGTCCAACTGATGTTCAGCTGCGCCTGGGAAATCTATGTTCAAAGCCCATCTAAGACATGGACAAGAGCTGTTTTGATCAAGCCTGGTTTCCCTCACCTTTAAGTTAAAGGAGAGATAACTGTTGAAGCGGCCTCCTGGTTCAGACCTTTCCTCAGCAATCTACTCACAGCATGGCTGCTGCTATTCTCAACTATGGTTCCCCCCATGAGGTTAATAAGACTAACCCACATTATGGGCTGCATAGAGTTACTGAGATAATTATGTGAAGGACTGAGTATTCTAAATTAGTAGGAGAAATTGGTTATACAGTAGGAAGCAGCAGCAGCAGCATTTTCATACTATTAGTTGCCAAGCTTAGTTATAGACTATCTAGCTATAGTCTGTTAACTATAGTCTATAGACTAAGTATACTATCTTTTCATTAGCATAGCCTTGCATGGGCAGTGGCCCCCCAGATATTTCAGATTTCAGTTCCCATTAACCCCAGCCAGCAGGTCCAATGGCTAGAATTTCTGGGATTTGTTGTTCAAAACTTCTGGAGTGGACCAGGATTGGGAAAAACTGGGCCACACGTGACAGTTTTTGCAGCTGGGACAATACATTTTGCTATGGCTACACAAGACCAGATCAGTTTCTGTAGCTAAAACTACAGGAATTTAGCTAAAATTCCAGGAACTGAGGTTGCTACCATACTACGTGGGCCATCTGAAGCTAAAGCTTTTCATCTTGAAAGATACAGGAATACATTTTCTTGCTCTTGCAAATGCCTTCAGTTTGTGTACTACTCACATTGACAATCGCTTCTTTTGTCTGGGCCATGTCCGATATCACACCATCAGTGATGATGAGCAAAACAAAATATTGGGAGCCATCCTGCACTGCTTCAGCATACCTGAGTTAGAAAGAGGTCATGTGAACACAGGAACTAGAACACAGGAACCCTAAATTCGGAATGAAAGCTTTACATTCTATAGCCCAAAACCTGGAGTGAGTTGGCAGCCTGATGCAATACCTGCTTGCATGTTTGGGCCACGTTTAGCCTTGTAAGTTCTTCAGCAGGCAGGAGCAAAGGATTTGTTTCTCTGGCAACAGTTCATAAAACTTCCTCCTATTATCTAGTCTTGGTCATTACTAGGGTGACTGAGCAGAGCTGGCCAAGAGAAATGCACCTTCTTTCCTTCAATACAAAAACAACTTATGCTGCTATTGTCATAAAAATAAAGGAATTGTCTTATAATTTGGGGGAGGAAGCTCTGTGGCATGCCTATTCAAGCATATCCCAAGCCTATTCAAGGCTTGGGTCCGGGCTACCTGAACGAGCGCTTACGTCCGTATATGCCCGACCACCTTTTGAGATCTGCGGGAGAGTCCCTTCTCCGGGAACCCTCCATGAAAGAAATTAGGAGAGTAAATACTCGGAGGAGGGCTTTCTCTGCGGTGGCGCCCAACCTATGGAATTCACTCCCCAAAGAGGTCCGCCTGGCACCGTTGTTACTGGTTTTTCGGCGCCAGGTAAAGACCTTTTTATTTAAACATCATTTTAATTGTTAAAATATATGATCTGGCCAGGGCAACTTCTTCTTCCTTCTCTTTTCTCCTCCTATATTATTTATTTACTTATTTTATACTGATAATTTTAATTTTATAGTATTATGTTTGTAACTCAATGTATTTTTTGTATTTTTGTATTTAATGGTAATTTATTATGTGCTATTGTATTTCAATGTATTTTATTGTGTTGTAAGCCGCCCCGAGGCTTCGGCAAGGGGCGGCATAGAAATATAATAATAATAATAATAATATCATGTATATGCTTACGTATAACACCAGCTCAGTTTAAAAAAAAGGTCAACGTGAGATTTGCAAGGAGCCACCTGAATGAAAGCGGACATCAGCCCACAACAGTAGGGATTGGTTCCTCAACCCTTGCAAGCCACCAGCATGCGCAGCAAGCACCTCTTGTGCTTTGTGACGGGACCTTACACCCATGGGTCATACCTGGCTACATGGTTAACCACCGGTGCGAAGTTGGTTGGGCCATAAAGCTGGACAGTCTTCAGGCTCTGGTGATAGGCTTCAAGGATTCCTTCTATCCCACTACAGTGAGGATTGTCAGAGTTGCCATTCTGTAGCAGAGGAAGGGAGATACAGCTAGAGGGAAAGTTCCCAGGCAGAGGCTGTTTCCCCACCCACTTCCGTGCCCTCTCTGAATTCAGATGAATTGCTAGCTAAGGGTCAAACTCCATGTTAAAGCAATGTGTAGTTTAACGTTTAAGGTCATAGTGAATGAAGGACTTCCCATGGCACTACGCACAAATTAGAAAGATGCTTTTGGAGGTTTTAGTGATTTACCAGTAGCAAGTACAGACCATGTCCTTCTCTTGGAGCTCAAGGTCATGCTGATTTTACAAGGGAACAAAGAATTGCTCCTCACTCCTAGCCAGGCAAAGCATCTTGTCTGGAAGTCCCACCTTGGAAGTCCCAGCTGTTCCTCTTTGAGCAACGTCTTTGGGCATTGGAGGATCAGGCTATGGCCAAAGAAAGCAAAATGCACAATGATTTTTTTCATGTTCACTCAGAGGTAAGGCCCATTGAGTTCAATGGGACTTACTCCCTAGTAAATGTGTTTAGGATTGCATCCTAAAAAAGTCAGCAATTCCACTTCCTGCAAAGCCAAGCCTCAGGTGAATGTGTTCTGTGGCTTTTTGCTTCTCTCAAAAATGGCACCAGAAAACACTGGCCAATTGGACCAGTCTGTGTGTCACTAGTCAAATCTGAACCAAAATATTACTTGGAAGCTGCTTCTGAGAGCTGATGTGATTCAAAGGGAGGAGCCAGTACCAAGGGGAACTCGTGGGATACACGCCCATCAGGTGGGATTTTGGCTCCAAATCCAAGTGCCGGGAACATTTTGTTGCTGTCGTAGTCCTGGATGATTTCGCCAACAGCCTTCAGTGCCATAGCATAGGCATTGAGCTGGTATGGATTCATATAGTGAAGTGAAGTTGACTGAGAGGGGTTGCCTGGCAAAGAAGAGGGAGAGAAAGTTGGTTCCTTGTTTGGCTGGCAATCACATTCACAAAGTTTGAACCAAGTCAAGAAAGGGCAGTGCTTTCTCATCTGGGGCAGCCCAGTCATGGAGCGGCTTTCCCTTGGAGACTCACCTGGCACCACTGGATTATCTTTTAGCATCAGGGTAAGGCATTTTGATTCTGTCAGGTAGTTTAGTATTCTTTTTTATTTACAGGAAAGTGGGTGTACTCCAAACACTGGAAATGGCGTGTTCACTGCTATTTTTTAATTGATATTAAAGTGATGTTGTTTTTTAAATTCTTGCTAATTCTTTACATGTATGTCATATTTTAATGTGCGCTGTAAGCTTTCCTGGGATAAATATTATGAAGGGCAGAATAGAAGTGCGTGCAAGAAACATATGGCCAATTATGTGCTCTGGCTTCACCCGTGCAATATGCTGGCACTTATTTTCTTAAATCAGATACAGTTACCTTTAAGTTTAATTCTCTTCTTGAATATGCTTAGTAACACTAGCTGTTCAGTGATATTAGCTAGTATTATTAGCATGTGGAGTATAAAATCCCATTTTTACAGAGATGTGGACGAAGTAAGGTTAACTCTGTTCAACTACTGTCTCTCCATCATGTGGACACATCTTTTACATTAGTATATTCTTCACTCAAAACAAGCATTTGTCTTGCTCATAAATTATCTTTCTGGCCTACAATCCAATTTAATTATTGTAGATGTAAATGGATTGAGATATAGATTGTTCTTCAAGAGTGGTCCTTTCATGCCTAAAGCAGGTGCAGTCTAATTTTTCAAATATGGTGTCCTGGTTTTCACATAAATCTAACCCATGGTTTATTTGATCCCTGGTTTACCCATTGTTTGTTACCCTGCCCATGGTTTGTCTGGTAGATTATCAAACAAACTGTGGCTTGCTTTCTCAATCCCTGGGTTGTCTGCAGCCCTCATCCTTTGCCTGCTCTCTCCCTGTATCACAAATGCCTTTCCAGTGCTGTAGTGCTTCCATGTGGACTGGCCGGCTTTTTTAACTACTCTTGCTAGACCCAGTTTGCATGTCACAACAATCCATAGGTTGTTTAAACCATGGGTTGTCAGGAATATGAGGAAGTGCTTTTGGTGAGTTCATCACGTCCACTTTTAATTAGCAACCTATAATTGCCCACTTTCTAGATTTAAACACATTATGCTTCCTGACTTGTTGCTGGATGAGCTACTAAAATGTTGCCCACCCTACAAGATCCCATGCAAATGTACCTGAAGACAAACCCTATTGGATAAGGAGAAATGTTTGTATTTAAACACTGAAAAATTGTCTGAAGAAACCAAAACTTAATAGAAGCCCTCCATTAATATATACACATACATATAAACACAGCTTACCATTGGAAGCTGTGAAGTCAATGGCCACAGTGAAATTGATCTGTGTCCTGGAAAAAGATCACAGCACGGTCATTATTCAGGCTGGAAAATCTAGAAGCATTTTGATTAGCCCAGACCCTCTGAGAAAAGTGGCAATCCTGATGTCTAGGCTTGTTTCCAGGGTGAGGCTTTTTCTGTGCAATCACACTATCTCTTTCAAGGAATGTTACAGGGAACAGATGATATTGTCTCTCATTTGCAGTCTCCTGTGTGTTCCCACCACTCTTTTTTTCACACTGTGGAAAGTCTGATATGAAAGAAAAGCCGGAAGAGGTGCACAATGCCTTGTGATAGCTCTCAGAGCCCTTCATCTGGAAGTCCCCAGACGCTGCTTCACAAGCAGCATTTCCCCTTTCTTTTCCACCTCCCCTAGGACTCTACTGCTGTGCAAGTTCAAAGACACAGGTCTGCTCTGACATGCATAATTCCACCTCCAAGCAGAGGAAAGTGTAGAGCCAATTGGGTGACAAATTGTTCTTTGTATTTCTATTTCATCTAATCAACTGAAATCAAGCCTCCATTATTCCATGACATCTTGCATAAGGAAATAGCAGCACAACACGGTTCATTGTATACAGTGGCTGAAGCCTTCTGCAAACAACATCCAAGCCCCGCAGCTACTGAAATCACCACTAAACCCGCTCCTCTGGGTTATCGCAAGACACCATTTCTGAGCCTGGAGAACTTGCTGCTACCTCCTTCCTCCATCCCTTCTGGTTTCTGCTCTGCTTTTGCTGCTGCAATGGCGGCACCAGCATTTGCTTATCCTCAGGATTCTGAGGGGCCTTCAGACTCAGGCACTGCAAGCAAAGTGTCCGCAGAGATGCCTTGTGCCTCTGAGCAAGGTTGCAGCACAAGAGAACTCAGAGGGAGGCACTGAGCCTGGCAGGTACTTCCACTGCCGCTGCTACGCCAGGGGAAATGCAGCTGGTTGCACTAGGCAGCCCTCCAGGCAATGGACTGGGAGGGCCCATGGTCCTCCAATCTGCCACCTGAGGCAGGGATCTCATCCTGTCTCATAGGCAAACCAGCCCTGAAACCATGATTGCTTCCTTATTTTAGCATTATTCTGTGGGCTTAATTGGGCCAGCTTGATCAAGTTCTGATATCCCTTGCAGCTGGCATGAATACCAGCATTTTCAGTTCCAAGTTTTACATAGTAGATTATAACATTTGAAGCTGCTTTCTTCCTTAGATTAACCAGGATTTACTGAACTGGAAACATAAAGTCCTGTGCTGGAGCCCCTGCACCTTTGCTGGAGCTAGGAAAGAAAGCCAGTACATGTGACTTAAGTATCAGGTTGGGATGGGGGTGCATATAAAGGGGGGAATATAGACATGTACTAGTCTACCCTGAATAGGGGCCCTAAAGGGGCCTTAAAGGTCGACACCCTGATATTTTAGGAATTAAGGAGATAGAGACAAGGGCTTTGCAAGAGTAATTTATTTGCTTATTAAGAGTAAAGTATATATAAGATTTAAGGAGCCTGCTTTCCAAAGCTTTGAATAAGAGCAAGCATTTATTTGACTGATAGAAGCTTAACAATACCATAGAAGTTAGCCATCCCAGAAGTAATTGCTAACAGAGCTGTAAATTGTGCTGTGTGTGATTATGCATATGTCCAAATATGGGGAATGGAAGGAAGATAGGCATGGTTATGATCCAACTGGGGGATGTCGGGGCAGTAAGATTGCATTTCTAGGGCAGGTATGTAAAAAGAATAGCCTGCCAAACCATTTCAGAAGCCTGACAGATTCCCCCTGTAGCTTCCACTTCTGAAAAAATCTCAGTGGTTTCTTTTGCTAGTGCAAGGAAGGGAATCTCTTATCCTATCTGCTGAAAGTGGAGAAAAGAAAGTTGCCTTGCTAACTAGTGATATGGACCCTTCTTTTATCTTCCAAATTCAGGTGTGTGTACTGGTGTGTGTGCGCGCGCGCGTGCACCCACATGTCTGTTTCTGGGGTTGAAAAAGGGTTACACACCCCTATTCAAATGAGATGTGGGTAGTGGAATAAAGCGATCTTTGGGGTACAAAAAGGGTACAGATATTTGAGGGCGGAGGTGGAGGAGTTTGCGGGAACGACAGGAAGAAGTTGCAATAAGGAGGGAAGCCTGGGGAGGAGCTCGAATTAGGTTTCAGAGACAGTCTTTAGTCCCGAGTTATTGAGAGGTATTGTCTGGCAGGTTGTTTCTGAAGAGTCAGGAGAAGGGTTGCTCCTCATTGCTACTCCATGCCTCAAGCGTCAGAAGAAAAATGTGTCTAGAAAGATGTCTTCTCTTGTTAGTCAATAATACAATGTTCAAAAGGTGAAGATGGGGAAATAGATTTGAAGTACACAAACTTTCCTGGAGCCAGCAACATTTGGTTAAAAGAATGGAAAAAATTGGTCAGAACTTAGGAAATGATCAAGAAACAGTTGCAGGGGCAGACTGACTAGCTGGGCAGGCAGTGGGTAAAAGCGATGTAACTGCATGCCTTATATTTTAGTCTGAGTGGCTGAAATACAAAGCTTGGGAGCCAGTGGGTTGTTCAGGAATGAAAAAGGAGGGGGGAAAGAGAGAGACCACTAGATTTTCTTTGAAGCATACAATGAGATTTCTGGAAAGGGGAAGGAAGCGAAAAGATGTCTCCCATTTCATGGCTCTGGCTTCATGTTTAATCTCGGGATCTGAGTTTAATAACTAAAATAAATACATGGAAGATGTCCTCACTCCCCATATCTCGTATGTCCTGCTGTTAGGATATGAAGGGGTTTAAGCTGTGCCAATCAGGAACAAAACTGACTGTGAGTTTTTTCAGCTACCAGGAGATAGAGAGAGAGGAAAAATGGAATTAAGACAAGGAGATAAGACTCTTCAGAGGCGATGCTAAGGTTATTGTGCACACTGATGATATTGAACAGATGTGCCACGCTGGACCCTCTGGAACGGTGGCCCTTTCCTGGCTCTCTTTCCCCCAATCTCTCCCTCTGAGATTCAAATAGAATACTTTCACCCTCTCCAGTTCTAATACTAAATTGGGGTCTGAGTGATTGCAAACAAAGCGCACAATCAATATGAGGATCAAACATACAGCTTTTCACTGCAGCATATCAGTTTGCTGAAAGGCTCTCTTGTGATGCCTCACATTTCCTGCAATGGTCTTCAGTCCATCGCAGTGCTGAGACTTGAATGCGCTGTACACCACAGCCCGGCAACTCTTACCTCCATCAGGTGCATGCAGAAAGGTTAAGTACTGCAAAGCACACTCCGAGCTGAGGAGGCTCGCGGCTGGAGGGTGCATCCGTTTGCTCAGAACTGAGTTCACTGGGGCTTAACACCAACATGGGTCCAGCAAGGGCAGGAACCTCTGCAGTGGAAGGGCTTCACAGCCTACCTCAAGATCCCCCCAGAGACTGCCAGCTGCCCCCACATCTGCCAGTCTGCCACCAAATTGCAGCGGTGTATCACCAGCCGCTGCCAAAAAGTGACAACTTTGCCTGAAATCAAGTATACCTGGATGCCAGCCCGTAAGGTGCACGTGCTCTGTGAACCTTGTTTCCAAGTTAGGTCACTGCTTTTTGTTGCCATCATGGGTGCAATGGCAAGTCAGCAGTGACAGAGGGGGCAGCAAGGGGAGCTGTACAAGAGGCAAGCAGTCTGCATACAGTTTGCATATATCTTGATGTACAAGATCACCAACATAAAGTTCTGGTGTTTTCTGGGCATCTAAGTGTTGCAATGTCATCATAATAACCAATGAGAAATACTAAATATAAGATGTGAGTGCTAAGTGGAAGCAAACTTAATTCGTACCAGTGTCATATATCAATCATATGACATCTCTCCTTTCTCTGCCTGGGACTGCATGAAACAGGCAGGGTCCCAGTTCTGGGCCCCATCCTCGTAGATGAGAAACAGCAGTTTAGAGGACAGCCAAGGGATGGCTGAAAGAGCTGAGCTGCCTGCAGACTCTTCTCTGGCAGCCTCCTCAGAAGGGATGCCCAGCCTGTCATTTCCCACTCTCAGTCGAGATCAGTTGCTCCCAGGACAGACTCTTCCTTCAGAAGTCACGCAAGCATCCTGCTGAAAGATTTCATGTACTGGTAAGACAGGCAGAGACAAGACAGCAGGAAAGGGCTGCTCCTGCCCTGCTCCTGCTCAACTTAACAGAACCATCCCAGGGTGAGGAGGAGCCCTCCTCTGGAAAAGGGCTGCAAGCCCATGACCCTCTCTGGCAATGCGCGACTGGGACACTGTGGTTTGGAAAGAAAGGGTCAGCTGTTCTTGGCCTGAGTTTCAGGGCCGGGGTGACACAGATTCTTTGGAGGAGGAGGACGGGGACTGGGAATGGAGGCCTTCAGATGCAGAGATGGTGGAGGGGGACAAGCCTAGCTCAAGGTCGCTGTCTCCAGGTGATCAGGTAAATCCTGAGATCAGTCAGGTTGGCAAGTCCTGGGAGGGGGCTTGGAAAAACCCTTGACCCCATGGGGGGAAAGGAGCCTGGAAAAACCCTTGACCCCATGACATGGCATTGGGAGAGACAGGCCAGCCAACTAGGGGGGCTGCGTACACCTGGGGCAGGTGGCCATCTCCACTTGCAGAGGGTGGGGCCCAGAGTTACGCAAAGGGAGCAATCTTGGAAAAGCATCCAGTTTGGTTTCAACATGCCTCTCTGTGCATGCTCAGAGACTCTTTCTTTGCTGGCTATAGTTTGCTGGATGTACATTGGAAATAAAGAGTTGTTGCCAAAGAACGGCCTGTTGTTCTGAAAGCAAGAAGAGGGAAATCCTCTTGATAACTATCAACCTCTGTTTGAGATCCTTCAATTCATGTTTTCTGACTGGAAATAAAGAATAAGGATGAAGAAACAGAAACACAAGCATGTCAAAGTATTCCAGCAGACAATGCTGAAATATCCACTTACTGCCTCAACCCCTACAGGCTGTGGGCAGATTGTTTGTGGGTGTTAAGGAGCGAGTGCTCCAAAGGCAGACCAGCCTGGTCATTCTCAGCTGGCTGCTTGGACCAGCAATAGGTTGTTCAGTGACTGCTTTGCACTCCAGCTTTCCTTTCAGAAAATGGTGCTCAAGGCAGCTAAAATGGCACTCAAGGGAGCTCCTGGTGCTGTTTGCAGGCTCAGCCACTAATTAGTTCAATGATCCAGTTGATGAGAAGTGAAAGAGAGAAATCGGAGGTCCTGCTTTCTTGCCTTGAACAAGCAGAGCCCGTACAAATGGTGTCAGTCGTTCTGTGACATTCAAATTCACGGATGAGTACACCTCACATACTGGAAATACCTTGACAGGCAACAGTATTTTTCCACATTGTTGGTGTCATCTCAGAAAACAAGCCACAAATACGGTGATTTGTGGGCATACTGGCTCAGTGGGGTGCAGGTCAAGCTTCCTATTATTTGCAGCCCATTTCAGAAGGTTAAAGCATGGGAGTAGCCACCATACAGTAAAATAGCTACTCAGAGGGTTTTCTGGAAACTTAGTTTTGTCCGTGTCAGACATACAGTGTTATGAAAAATAACCCTAATCCAAAACCCAGCAAGAGATAGTGCAAAAAGACCCCAAGCCAGCTGAGCTGAGGAGTCCTGCTGAGTTGCTCACTGTACCACCACTGAGTGGGAGGGGAGATGACTCAAGGAAAGGAAAGCAACTCTCAACAAGATATTAAGCTGAAGTCTAATTAGCGTTTCTCTTAGGATTGCATTTAGAGCCTTTTTGCCCATATAATCATGCAGCATCACCCATCCAGGCTGCAATCCTATGGCTCCTGGCTCCTCGGGTGTTGGGAGAGAATATTCCATTCCTTCTCCCCATGAATGTTTGCTCTTTGATGCCCAGAGGAAGATATTGGCAGATTGGGGGCACGGCATGGATGAAATAGGGAGGTGCTAGGTATGCAGTACCCCAAACCCTCCCAGTCTGACCCATTCCCCCAAAACAGGGGAAAATTTAGATGAGCCTGAGAGCTGTTCTAAACATTTTTCTTCTATGGGGGAGGCAAGAAAAACTGAAGCAAATGGAACTGATCCATCCCTGCCTGCAGGAGCCTAGCAGGCTTAGGAAATGTCAGAGTGTTCTGACCCCAGAATGCTCCTAATGCATTACAATGGGACCACCCAGCCCATTCATTATCTGGGAGAGGAAACAGAATGCTTGCCTCCAGGAGAGGGAAAAGCCCTGCTATGCCATCTAAGGGACACACACTTGCCCAGGAACAATCAAGCTGTCTTTGTGACTGAATGAACCAAAGACATCTCTGACCTCTTCTGCTTTTTTGATCGGACCTGAATCTTGTTCTTTTAGGATTCCTTCTGACAAGTTAATAATGGGCTAACAAACCGATTGTTAAGTGCTTCGAATGGACTGGTATTGATTTTTGGACTCCTCTGTCTCTCAGTAGCAGCAAATTGATTTCTGAGTGACTCTTTTGTAAATGGACACTGTTGTGCTGTTAAACATGGGAATGCTGGGCCAGGATAGCTGGAAGGAGGGTGATGCCAAAGCACGCCTGTCCACATTAGAGGGTGAGCAGCATCACACCTCAGTGCTTAATTTCCAAATAAATTCCAGTGGATGCTTCTGCCCAGCAATGATCCTATATACTAATAGTGATCTCAGTTCTTAAGTACCCTTCTTTATGCGGCCAAACCAATGACTTATAGACAAAGGGGGAGCTATTAATCATCTTGTTTGCAGAAGCACCAAAACAATTGAAAGACCCACCTGTGCGGGAGGACACCCCCAAAAAACCTGACCTTGCTGGGTGGCTACAGGCTGGGAATGAAAAAACGTGGGTGTGGGAATGGGCTCTCTTAAAGAGGAGCACTTCAGGCTGCAACATTTTACTGGAGATCTCGCTTGAATTCCCACTCTCCAGATGTGTGAAACTGACTCAGTCAGGGTAGGAAAAAGGGCCAGAACAGATGTTCATCAGAAATATTCTCAATAGCACAACAGGGTATGTTTTGCTGTCTGAAATGGAAAACAAGAAGGCATCCTTCCTGTTCTGTTTACAGAAACCATCAAGGCTGACAGTTCATTTATTTATTATTACATTTATATCCCACCTTTTGTTTTCCTACAAGAAATCAACATATGCCTCCTGCTTCTCTTCATTTTTATCCTCACAGCAACCTTATGAGGTAGGTTAAGCTTACAGCCAGTGACTGGCCCAAAGTCGCCCAGTGAGCTTCACAAGGGGGGGAGGGTGTCTAGGTGTGGACCAGAACCCAGGTCTCCTGAGTGCCAGTCCATCTCTCTGTTTCAGCAGCAGCTCTCAGGGTTCCAGGCAGTTTTTCCAGCCATACCCGAAGATGCCAAGATGCCGGCAACCAGACCTGGGGGACTGTATGCAAACCAGGTGCTTGCCCACAAGACACTGTGGAATAAAACCCTCATTTTATACCTTCTTACATAACAGCACTGTGAATGTTAAGCCACATTTCTGTTGCATTTATATTTCACCTTTTCCTCCAAGGAGTAACATAAATGGTTCTCACTCTGTTTTATCCTCACCACAGCCCTGTAAGAAATTTTTCTGGATTTTATAATGACATGACAGATCCTAACCAGGCTGGAAAGTAATGCATAGTTATCTGTCTGAAATTTACAAATTGTGCTGCATCCTACCAGCAGATCACTTGGAAGAACACTAAACAGCACAGTGAGATTTCCCTAGGAAAATGTTCCCCTCCAGATGTCCTTATTGCAACCCCCATAATCTCCAATAAGCATAGGAAGTATAGCACATCTGGAGGGCTCCAGGTTGGGAAGGGTAGCCCTAGAGAAAATAGGTCCCTCAAACATGCCCTCCCCGCTTGAAAAAGCTGGTTTCCTTGGGACATCTTCGTCTCGAAACAGACAGAAGCCGTGCTCCTATTTCTGCTCTGAAAGAACCCAATTTGTGTCAAAATGTATTATTTCACTTTAAAAACATAAAAGCTGCATGAAGTTTTTAAAAGACAAAAAATTAAGGTGGCTTACAGCAATAGAATACCAAACAGTATAAAAGCAAAATTACAAATTCATTAAGCTGCCACCCTTGTAAAATACAGCTAATCCAAGAAGCTAACAACCCCAGCAGTCAGCAGTTGCTGAGATCAAAAGCAAAATGAAAATGACCCTAAACAGCATTGACACGTACAGAGAAGAGGACATTTTCCCTCAACTGCTTAAGTATCCAGGTATTAACAGAAATATATAGTGCATCCGAGGTAAATAGTGCAGGGACTTGCTGAATCTTAGCTGGAAGGGCATTCCACAGAGTGGAGGCCACCATTGAAAAACCCACACTAGGCTTCACTGCTGCAGCTTCGACGGCTTAGGGATCCGGAGCAAGCTCTCAGATGGTAAAAGAAGCATGCAGGATGGAAGAAGGGGACCCTTAAGTCCACAAGTCCCAAGACAGTAGGGGCTTTAAAGGTTAAAACCAGAACCTGGAAACAAACTGGCAACCACGAAGATCAAGCAAAAGGAACACCAATGGCATTTCCACCTAGTAGATTCTGAGCACGTTGCTTCACTTGACACTTGCAGCATTTTGTGCCAACTGCAATTTCCAAACGCTTCCCAAGGGCAGCCCCCTGGAATGCACATTCCAGTAATGTGATCTGGAGGTAACCTGGCTAACCACAGCGAGGTGCAGTTTCAACAGGTAGGGTCATTACGGAGGAATCAACTAAAGCGGAAAAAGGAGCTCCATGCCACTGATGTACGCGTCCCATGGAAGCACTGGGTCATCACCCACTCCCGAGCTATGGACTATGGGCTCAGTCCAGATTTGGGAGAATCCAACTGGGCTAGTAGCTGCACCACTGCCTCCCCATAGCAGCCAGTCCATCCCCCTGCAAGTGCTCCAGTTGGTAGGTGCCCTGTTACACAAGGGGGAGGGGGAACACCACCAGTCACACAACTTTGTGAGAGGAGCCCTTGGTGGAAGACAGATCCTGCATCCAGCCTTCCTGGAGCAGTGCGACCCCATCCAAGACACAATGCACTCCTAAGCCTGGGTTAGACGGTCCGTCCACCAATGGTATTTTCACCTTGTCTGCGTTAAGTTTCAATTCAAAAAAGAATTGCTTACCCTCCTTTGATGTAGTCTAGAAATGTGTGTTCCGATTCAGTGGCAAATGAGAGCAATGTCACCTCAAAAAGGAAGAAACGGGGATAATGTTATACTGGGAATCGAAAAGTATTATTGTTCGTAAAGATGGAGTGGTGGTGATTCCCAATTGCTCCTAGACCTGACTTTCAGCAGTGCTCAACTTCTCACAATCCCCAGCGGGATGCCACAGACCTCTTTTCAGAGTTTTGAAATCCTGAGTTTGCTTTGAGTTACCTTGTCCTGGAGTGAAATTTCTGGTGACCCATATAAGAACATGGAGAGAACAAGCCCAAACTGCTTACAAACAAACTGGGTAGCAATTAGAAGCCCCTTCCTCCCTTCCTTTTCACCTTCAAGTATTGATTGATTGATTGATTGACTGATTAAAAGCTTTTCTTATACCATCCTTCACTGAGTCTCAGCACAGTTTTCACTGAAAGACACCACACAAACATTGCAATACTGTTACTCACTGTTCCTGAGTTAATGTATTTCTTTTTCTTCATTTTCTTTTTTGGATTCACCACCTGAGAGAGGAAAGAAAAAGAAAAACCAGAGACAGGTGAAGGTGATGTGGAAGGCCAGGGCAGATGTCTGCAAGCCATGCAAGATGGCTGTGCAACGTGTGTAACAGTAGCAGCCAGTGCTAAAGGTATTTCTTTATATTGTGGCATTAACGTGCATGGCACTTTTCACTTTTCAGAGGGATGCAGAACAAGGAAAGGTGTGACTCTGCCTGAAGGCACTTAAAATCTACATTTCAATAGAGAGGAGAAAGTCAAGGGATTTGCAGGAAAAGTGGGCCAGGAGAAGGGATTTCAAAGACTTATAGTGATTCTTTGGTTCATCCTTGCAGCTCCTTTGTGAGTCCTGAGTTGGCTCATTATTATTCACATTGTACAAATGGAAAAGGAAGTAGACAAACATCCTGGGACTCAGGTCAGGCAGTAAATCTAAGGCTGAGCTGCGATGTGAAGCCATGTCTCTTGGGGTCTAAAGTCAGCTTTACCTTTCTAGCAACAGTTAAGAATAGTGCCATAGACACTTTCTTCTTATGGTGGGTCAAATTTAAACTATGGACTGATTGAGCTCCAGTATTGTAAATGAATGTGCTCTAGCATTAGGACATATAGCTTGATGTCCCACACCTGTTTCCATCCAGTCCGGCACTCATCTTGTACCTACTGTACCCAGTTGTCTCCTTCCTATGTGATCTAATGACCTTATTATATTTACTTTGTGTTAAGTTTTCAAGATTTGTTCACTTACTTATTGATTACATTTTTGCTGCCCATTGACCTAAGAACTCTCTGAGCAGTTCACAAAACAAACTTAAAAACAGAAAATACAATAATAGAGTGAAAACAATATAAAAACCACAACAGAATACAATAATAGCAGGGACCAAGTTAAAAGACAGCCCCAGTACAGAGGTAAGAACAATCAGGCACAGTTTTTAAAAAACTGAAAGGGTAAAACACCTGGAGAAATAAAAAAGTCTCTACCTGTGTCCCCCCCCGCTCCACAATGACACCAGGTAAACTCTCTCGGGTGCACATGGTAGGAACATTAGAGAAGGAACCAAAAATAATATTGTCAATTTCATAATACTTTCATACAATGCTATGGTGTGACCATATTTGGGATCCTTTAAAAAAAGGCTGGGAATTGGAGGCATGATCCAGAACTTCTAAAACCAGTGATAATGTGTATGGTGGACAAGACAATAGGAAAATATTGACATGACTGGGATGAAAGGAAAGGGTTTCCAGCACAGGAAATGCTGTGCTTTCCTGTGACTCATTCCAAAGCTCACCCCAAGAGCTGATCCACATGCCTGCAGAGAAAAAGAGGGAATTTCTGGCATTGGCCAGTTCCTTTTCTTTTCAGCCTTTCCTTCCATCCTTCAGCCATACCTGCATTGCTGGCTTCCCATGGTCCGGGTTCATGGGCACTTCTCAAATTTTGAGTAATGTGGACACTCTCAAAATGGCTGCTGTGGGGTGCCTGCCCATTCATAAAATGGCTGCTATGGCAGCCATAGACAGTTAGAAAACACTTGTTTCCCTGAAAGTAGACTAGTAAAAAAAATTAATAAAGCAAAATTAAAGCAAAATTAATTTGTCCAAGAAGGAGAGGTGGGGTCTGAGCATTGTAAGAACCACACTTTGAAGCATAAAAGAGCCCAAAGGGTAACAGTTCCCTTTCAGCATGGCATCCTCCCTTGTGATTCTTAAATTGGAAGAGACAGGGCATTTGGCGGGCACCAGGAGAGGTGTCTGGGGGCATACTGTGCCCAAAGACATCACACTGGAGACCCCAGGAAGCTTTTTGCATCTCTGTGTATACAATCTGAATCAAAGGTGATTTTAGGACAATTTAGCAGCTCAACAGCATTTCAAGTCTTACAATTCTTCCTCAGCAGCAGCACATTTAGTTCTTTCAGATGAAAACCAAACAGACATTAGAGTTAAAATGCCCTTTGCCAATAAATGATCTTCATTGTAACTTTGTATCTCTGTAGTCTTTTTTTAGCCTTGCTCTCCCATTTCCCTTTCTCAGACTTGGATCATGCCCAAAGTTGATGTCTGAGCAAAGCCAAAGATGGCTACCAGTTCCCAAAGATGGGAAAGATGCTGATCTCTTTCTTCCTTGTCAGATAATGCAGGGGTGCAGCGTTTTAGGTCCTGATGAGAAATCTAGCCCTGTCCGCCTCCCCAGAAGCCCACACTCTTTTCCCTGACCTCACTGTCTTTCCCCCAAGCCCCAATGATGAACTGGATGGTTTCCTGGCTTGTTTCCTCCTGGCAGTTTCTTCCTCATTCTAAAAGGCCGACTTGTCTCTTCTAAGGCTTAGTTACTGTGAATAAGTTAAAGATTTATTTAAGTTAAAGATTCATTCATTTATTTATCTTATAGATCATTTAGTAGTCCTACTGGACTACTAGGCTAGTAGTTCCCAACCTTTTCTATGCCCCACACCACTTGAAAATGTTTGATTTATGTTTGCATGCCCTACAAAAGTAGTATCACATCCAAAGATGAAGAAATCAAATTTCTAATTTTTGAACTACACATTGAACCATATACAGTACAGCAGGAGAACAAATTGAACACACAAGAATAAGCTTTTAACTCAGTGTGTAACATTCAAACATAAATTGAACAATTAGAAAAAATTTGTATACAGTAAAATCCATCCCAATTGTTGGACATAAAATTCAATGACCCCTTTGTTCCTGTTTCCCATTCATGATTTTGTCAAAACATGGAACTTTCTTGCTGACTGCAATCTGCAAGTCTTTGTGTGGATTCAGGTGGTTCCTAGATTTTGTCTTGATTGACAAAAGAGAACTGAATTCAAATGCAAACAACGGATCAATAATTTTATTACTGAGATAACTTTTGGTGAAAAATCCATGATTCACCAAATTTAGTGAATCAAAACACAGCCTTCCTCTTTGTTGCACCCCCCGAATGCCATCCCGCAACTCCTGGCGTGCGGACACCCCCGATTGGGAACCCCTGCCCTAAGTGGTTTGCATACATGCTACTGTTGTCATATGCTGCTCTTTGGTCTTCTTTCCTGCCCTTTTGCCTGCAGCTCCGCCCATCGTTGGAAAGCCGCTTCAAGAGCTTCTTTGAAGTAGCATCTGACCTTTGAGCTGGAACAGCTTTTGTACTCACAGGCTAATAAGTCAAATATTCATTTTGAATTACCTTTCATATTGAGTTGTCTTTTCACTGTATGGTAGCCTTGACCAATGCTTTTCAAAAGCATTGGAGCACAACATCCATCATCCCCAGAAACACAGCCAGTGGCCATGCTGAGCTGCAGATCATGGGAAGGCACCAGGCTGGATGAGGCTGATGTATGACATATATAGTGAGACAGAGAGACTAGTGCTTTGAGTATGATTTGAATGGGAAAAGGACTTCATTCTCCAACATTATGTGTTTGCAACCCAGTATGTCCGATTATTTCAATTCCCTTTTGCTAGCATCTCCAAAAGCCCCTTTTCCTTTCCTCATTATGCTAAACACATAGATTCTTTTTCCCTGGCAGGGAAATGACATCTACCCCTTTTTTGGAAACTCTTTTTGAAATTAGATCCATCTCTCTGTGCATTGTTGCCATTCACCATGCACCATTCTGAGAAGGTCTTGAGAATTCACCCAGAACAAAAGGCATTAATGATTTACACCAGCTATACACGAGTCGAGTCTCTTTCCCTCCTCCTTGTGCACTCACATCTTTTACCGTGGAGGGGGAAAGAAAAAGCAAAGCTCTGTGAGAGGAGATGCTGGGATCCAACTGTGTTTGAGTCTTGTTGGACTTTTTAGAAACAGGCCTAGAACTGTCACCTTGGATGATATTAAATTGGAGCCGTGCCTGACACATGCGGCATGGAAAATGTTCGGCAACAGGAGGAAACCAAGGTATGGAAGCAAAGTGATGTGTATGTCGTGTTGCTGCAGCGATTTGTTTTTCAGTTCCACATGGGCTTTGCCATCTGCTTGTGGGGCCCAATCCTCAGCCTGCAGAAAGAATGTAAAATCACCCAGCTGATGCCTGTCATCACGCACACCGACACCAAGAGCAACCTGGAAACAGAATGCTCTGCAGTTAATGGGGCTGGGGAGAGAGAGAGAACCTTACACATCTGAATTTGCTTTGCGCCATCTGAATTATACACTCACCCAAGTGTTTAGAATGGATCGGTACTGTCACCCATCATAATATTGGCCCAATCCGGTACAAAGTGGGGAACTCCTTTTGAAATACTATGCAATGATATGGCATGGAGCAAGGTGAGGGGATTTAGTCACACCTGAGGAACTAGCTACAAAACATGCACTGTTGAAACACTAATAATCTAGGAAGGAAGAGTAAATTTATTTTATTTATTTTGTTATTTAGAATATTCCTTAGCTATCTTTCTGCAATTAGTTCCCAAGCTGACATGCACTTCTTTAACAAAGTATTAAATAAGTTCTTTTAATGGATTTGGGATGTGGAAGCTTAAGTGGTAAATCAAAATCAATTATCTTGATTTATCAATTATCAATTATTATCAAATAATTAGGAATTATTTAAGTGGTAAATCAATAAGTACCTCAGTCTCTATAAGTACCTCAAAGGCTGTCACAAAGAGGAAGGTCTTCCTGCTGATGCCAGAGCGTAGGATGTGGAATAATCAGTTCAAGTTGTGACAACCCACATTCAGGCTGGACATCAGGAAAAGCTTCCTCACTGTCAGAGCAATAAAACAGTGGAACCAGCTGCCTAGAGAGGTGGTGGGCTCTCCCACACCGGAGACATTCAGAAAGAAACTGGACAGCCATCTGAGTGGGGTGGTGTAACATGGTGTTCTGCAACAGAAGGGGGGTTGGACTTGATGGCCTTCATGGCCCCTTCCAACTCTTCTTTTCTATGATTCTAAGAACGTAAGAAAGAAGTAAGAAGAGCCATGCTGGATCAGACCAATGATCCATTTGGTCAGGCATTTGGTTTACCCAGTAGTAA